CGCAGATGTCGAGGGCTTTTGGCATCTCCAATTATCTGAGAAAATAGGGTGGGTCTGCGGGGTCTGCTGGCTGTCCTGTGAGGTGCCCAACTTCAGCAAGTCAGAGCCGAGCCTCTGTTTTGACCTTTCTGCCAGAACGGATGTCGTGGGCTTTTGGCGTCTCCGATTACCTGAGAAAATAGGGTGGGTCTGAGGGGTCTGCTGGCTGTCCTGTGAGGTCTTATATTGGTTGCTCTAAATTTAAATGAAAAGCATCACTTCTTCCCAGTACTCTTTATTAATTGTCTAATTTTTAAATGCATATGGAGTAGTCGCTATGAGTCGCAGGCAACTCGATGGCACATAACAACAACAACAATGGAGCAGCAGAAACTATCATGGCTTGGGGCAGGCTGACCTATTCCTCAGCCTGGCATTCCTTTGCTTGTCGATCTTGTATTTATTTTTTTCTTTTTAAATTAACTTCCCTCAGATGAGAAAATTGATGGGAAAATCCTCCACTGCCTGGAAACCACGATGTTAGGGAACTCTGATGGCATCTTTATACCTGCCCGCACTGTGATATTAAACACTGGGGCCCCAGAGAAAAGTATTTTAGTCAAGAGCCCATCCCAGAGCAAGCACACGGTCTACTTTCAGCATTTTATTCCCAGGGAGTAAACTCTTCGCAGTATTTTCAAGAAAAGGATTTTCAGAATATCTGCATGAAGATGATCACTGTAACAATAAAACTAAGAATAAACTCCCAAACCCAAGACATTTACCAAAGTAGAATGCATCTCAATATGTTGATTTAAAAGACTACCCACTCCCCCCACATCTATACCTCATCAGGGTCAGTCAGCCTGTCTTCTTTATACGTGTCAGTTAGTTTGGGGAGGCTGGTAACCTAAGGAGGTAGCCTGTTGGGTTTAAAACAAAGGAGTATGTAATGGTGACAGGTCACAAAGGACAGCTGAGGATGAATGCAGTAGTATAAGGTGATTTAAGCAGAAGTCCTGGAGGGATATGGGCAGTGGCCTTTGCTCTCCCTCTCTTGGGGACACGATTTGTAGCTGCCAGAGTTGTCTTGAAAGAAGAGAACTATGAATGATAAAGATGTGTTACCTTATTACACTGCCAACAGCTACTGTTCGAAGGGTATGTTCAATACCTCCATGGGAGATCTACAACGACAATTGTATAGGGGAGGAGAGTATGACATTTTTAAGTATGCGCCAATGTTTGAGAGCGACTTTATCCAGATTAGCAAAAAAGGTGAAGTGATTGATATACATAACCATGTTCAAATGGTGACTATGGGCATCGCATCTACCAGCCCAGTCCTCCCACTGCCAGACGTCATGTTGGTGGCCCGGCCAGCTAGAGTCTGTGAAAACCACAATGGGTGCAGCCAACCCACCCAAAAAAGAGGTCGAAAGTCCACAACAACCTTAGAGCTTACCAGGCTCCTTCCCTTGAATTTTGTCAAGATCTCTATACACAACCGAGAAAAACAGCAACTGCGCCTAAAGCTTGCCACCGGCCGTACCTTTTACCTGCAGCTGTGCCCCTCTTCAGATGGACGTGAGGACCTCTTTTGCTACTGGGAAAAAATAGTCTATCTCCTGAGACCAAAAATGGAGACTTACAGCAGTAACCCCTCCCTCCAAACTGGGGATTTAACGAATACATCTACACGCTTGACAGATGACAACAAAAGCATAATGGTAAGCATTTCCAGGGGAAAAGATCAAATGAGAACAGGGTGCTTTGGGAAAACAGTTAAACACTGCTTGTCCTATAAAGCCTGTGGTTTTCCCCTGGGATTCCACTGAAAAATACACAGCATTTAAAAGTATACAAATGTCAAATAGGCCCCTAATACTCTCAAACTCATTGCTGTTGAGTCAGAACCTACTCTTCTCTGTCCCTCTAGTGAGTTTTCAAGGCTACAAATCAAATCACATGGGAGGAGATTGCCTATTTTTCTCCTGAGGAATCACTTGTAGGAGATGCCACATTTAGGTTAGGAGTGCAACTCCCTAAGGACCATGCTACCAGAGTTCCCTAATGGACTCCTGGATAGTGCAGATAGTTTGTCCTTGATTCCAAAGCTTGAGGATGGCAATTGGTACTTACACAGTAGTGATACAGAAGAAAGGCTGGGAGAGTACTGATAGCTGTAATAGCTGCAGACCATAAAACTTCAAGCCAGGAATGCCCTACAGAGTGGTTTTATTCTGTAACACATAGAGTTTCCATGAATTACTGTAGGTTCCAGGGTAAGGAGTTTGGTCTTAGGGCCAGGTGAGCCACCCCTAAGGGAATTCTCATATTGGAGAGATCCTGAGTGCTTCTCCAAAGTACTCCACAAGATTCAGTTTCAAGACATTAGGTCTTGGCTGCTCTGGTCTCATCCTTACGCCTAAATCTCCTCTAAAACATCCTGATTTTCCAATCTGTTAGGACACTTTACTATTGCTGTATATTTTTAATGTTGAGGAAATTTTTCCTTTGAACCATGATCTGTTGTTCCATTACTTCCATGTATTAATTTTTATGAAAATGTACTAACACACAGGTGCACACGCAACCATGCATGTGCATGATTTGTTAGTAATCACTAAATAAAAAATGCAGAATGTATATATCCCTTCACTCAGCAAGCCTACTTCTAAAAATCTTATTTTGCAGAGATATAAACACATGTGTGTAAAATAAAAATGTACAAGGATGGGAAGGCTTTCCCTGGCATTGGCATTATTCAAGCAATACTGAGGGGCCATTTGACAGAAGATGCTATATAGAGATGATTCTGTAACAAATGGGAGCTCTGACATGATGATCTCAAAAATTACTCTAATTATACGTCCTTGTGTTGTTCAGCACTAAGATGAATGCGTCTCACTTCATTTTCTCTGTTTCACCTGTTTTCCCTCCCATTGGCATAGACTGCAGATCTCTATGGAGAAGGGGATCGGGATGAAGGCAGGCTTCGCAAGTTCCGAGAGGTGTCTGAAGCTACTTCTTCTGCTTATGCAGGAGGAGAAGGAATTGGAATCAAACAACCTTCTCACGGAATGCCTGGACCCTCTTCTGCAGCCATGAAGTCACCAGGGTCTGCGAGAAGAGCAGCAGCAACAGGGTCAACAGAAGGTCCCTCAATGGGAGCAGCAATAACAGGAACGATAGCAAGTTCCAGGCCAGGAGCAGCAAAGGCAGGAGCAGCAGCCAGCCCTAAAACAGGAGGAGCAGTAGCAGGGACAAGAGCTGGCTCCACAATGGGACCTGCAGTAGCTGGGAAAACAGCAGGCCATTCAGAAAGTACTGTAAGTGTTGTAATCGACAAGGCCTCAGGGCCAACACAGAAAAATGTGGCCCTGGCAGGAGGAGTTACCAAGAGTCCAAGAGTGAGTAGAGGACCCAGCAAGGTCATCACAGGTACTGCCAGTGTGTCCTCAGAGAGTGCTAACAAGGTCTTGGCAAGTGCTACAAGGTCATCTGCAGAGCGCAGTTCCACCCAATCAACAGTGGCAACCAGTTTCTCCCCAGGAAGCAGCATGGGCATCCGTGGAGGAGTAACAGCTAACAAGCCTGCGGCACGGAATGCTAAATTACCCCTTCTCTCGACCTTGAAAACTGAAGGCTACATGAGTGAGCGAGATGGAAGCCAGAAGGTGTCCAAGTCAAATACCAAAGTGCTGAAGGAAAAAAAGAAAAGAAAATCAAAGAGGAACAAAAATCCCACTAAGAGAAGTTCTCATCACCACAGAAAAAGTCGAGACAAATCAACCCGGAAATCATCCTCCCACCAGTCCTCAGCCGAAAGTGGAACCAGGAAAGAGGACAAAAAAAGGAAAGGTCGTAGCAGCACAAAGGGCAAAGGACAGAGGTCCTCCTCTCACAAAAGTATCAGCCGCAGTCCCACCCCAAAGGAGTCGAGGACAACTCAGAAACTGGGGCGGACCCAATCTTCAGCAAGCAGCTCAGCTCCAGTAGGTAAGAAATTGAGCAGGATCACCCAATCGACAACAAGCCTCTCAGCTTCAGTAGGTAAGAAATCCAGCAGAATCACCCAATCGACAACAAGCCTCTCAGTTTCAGTAGGTAAGAAATCCAGCAGAATCACCCAATCTGAAACAACCAGCTCAGCTACAGTAAGTAAGAAGCCCAGCAAGATTGGCTCTTTCTTCAGGAGCTTCAGAGCAATCTCGGCTTCAAGAGCAGTGATTACATCTCCCGAGAGAGATTTAGACATTATAGCCAAGACTGTGGAGAGGTGCAACATTGAGTCCAAGATGGAGAAAGCACCTGGATATGTCCAGGATGTGGAGATCACTGGTACCATGACAGCTGAGACCACAGAGACAATAATCTTTGCATCTAAAGCCACTTAAGCAGGAGCCAGAGAAGGAAGCTGCAACATTGACCAGGGCTTAGGGAATTATCCCTAAGGAGCCAATTTCAACTTTTATTACTGCAGTTAAAATAAATAATAAACTATAAACACTAAATTAACTATTGCTTGCTTTGCTATGTCTCACAGCCTAGTCATGACCTCACAGCTGCTTCTGTGATGTCAATTGTGCTGTAGCCTGAGACCCCAGCATTTAGCTAAGCAGAGTTCCACTTCTCACCTGTGCTCAGCAGTCATCTGCTGCCCTTTCTACCTTTGGTTCCCACCACCACCAGCAACCAATCCCCTCTCTTTCCCACTCCTTGAAGATCCCTGAGGGTGGACATTCAAAGACAGGACAAGAGAAGTTCCACAGCAGATGGTTCAAGCGAATAAAGAGGGAGTTCAATAGTATTTGTAAGCAACCAGAACAGCAAAGTCTAGAATTAGCAGACTATAGTCTAAGACGAAATCTTGCCTAGCTGGCCTATTTTCATAAAGTTTTATTGCAACATGCCCATGCCCATTTACATTACATATTTTCTACGGCTGCTTTCACACTTAAAACACTACAAAGTTGTGTAGCTGCCATAGAGATTATATGGTCTGCAAAGTCTTAAATACTTACTATTCAGGTGTATATATGTATATATGA